TTATTATTATTATTATTATTAGAGAGGGGGGAGGGGAAAGGTGGTTGGATTCAAAAAGTGGTGGAAGGGGCGAAACAAAAAAAATACAGGGGAAGAGGCACATAATAACCGTACTGATGTTACTTCCTCTGGAGACATGGATTGGGGTCCAGCAGGGGTGGGTCAAGGTTACAGAGAGTACCCAAGGTCCAGTCCAGAAGTCAGGGGTTCCAGAGAGCAGGTTTACAAAAGACCCGTCTAGGGTCAAGGAGTTCCAGGCAGCAAGTCCAAGTCTAGTATGAGGTCAGGGGTTCCAGAAAAGCCAGCTTTCAGGTCCAGTTCAAGGTTGCAGAGCTCCGGTAGCAGTAAGGTTGGTGGCTCAGTAGCAAAGTATACTTGTTGGATCCACAAACAGCTGCTTCTTGGTGCTAAATTTATACCCAAGTCTTAATGAGCTAGACTCCCAGGCAATTCCTTGGCAGTCATCCTGAAACTACTCATTCGTCTCTTCGATTGACAGCTGATGATGGGCCATGAGTCTCACACTTCTCCTTTCTTGCCACTTTTTAAGTGTCTCTGACAGTGTCGATGCTGCAGGGTTGAGCTAGGTGGGCTGGTAGTGGCTGCTGAAGACTTGTTTACTGCTTCACAAGGGGTTAGCTCGGTTTCACCTGTAAACTGTGACTCCTGATCAGCTGGTAACCTGATCTCTTGTTCTTCTTCTGGTTCAGAGCCAGCTGCATCCAGCTGTTCAGTTACTGGCTCAGGGCTAGCAGGTAGCTCTTTGTCTGAGAAATCTGAGCCATCACTCAGTACAGACTGACTTATAACAATAACATAGTGTACAGTCTTTTAGATAAGAAGCAATACAGTCAATCAAACTCAGCAAAGTACACATTGTCTAGGCTCTAGCAGATTTCTCAGAGCATGTACAGAGGTCCTTGCAATAACAAGATGTTGGAATGGTCTTTAATCCCCTACCCAACCTCTTGTGGACCCCAGTTTATGCAGAAGACAAGGGAAAATCCCAAACGTCCAGGTAGTTGCAGTGAATTGAATCAGACCTAAGCCGGCCTCCTCTCTAAGAGTGACAAGCTGATTTAGCCAATCCCCTGCAGAAATCCATCTCTGACATTAGAGGCTACTGTTCCCTATCAAAAAATTATTAAAACAATAGTCCCACCCCTCAAGCATCAAGTAGTGGCCCAGGACTTCCATGACGAATAGGCAGTCTGGTCCAAACCCGGCTCGTTATTTGTCCGAAAGGGATTAGGTTTGGCCGGATGGCCCAGTGTGGAACGGAAATGAATTATTCTAACATAAACCCCAGGGTTCCAAGATCCCACACCTCTAGGTGGCACTCTTGAACCCTAGTAAGGTGTTGGGGTTCTGTCACAGCATGGAATGATCCTAACCCTGCATGCTTTTCTTTTGTCATAACTGGCACCCATTGCAGCCTTGTACAGTCCCGGAGCACTAGTAAGCGTGCATTAAAAGAACATATGGAGATTTGGGGTGTGAAGCTAACGTCTCAAGGATAGCTGCATGCAGCAACCTAATGCTCCACAAGAAGGCATTCAGCTGGCACATGCTCAAGTCCTGCACATGCTATCTTTGTGGCTATTTTGCCGTAATTCCTAATATTTTCATCATGGGGCTTTGGGAGCCAAGTCCTTGGGCAACCCGCGAAAAACATCCCTTGCCCCATGCAGTTAACTGGCCAGTGGGAAAGGGGGCAGGAAAGCCCAAGAGTTTCTCCGTCTGCAGTTGCCAGCGCGGTGCCCTCCTTATCATTCAGTGTGGATGCTGATAAGAGCAACCCATTCCGTCCACGGCCTGCAGTCCGATAACCTCAAACGCGCATCATCGGTAGAGCTGCAGTCTGGAGGCTATGGTTGGCAGCTTCTGGTGTCGTTTCAGAGGGCGGCCACATTGCTCTGCAGTAGAACAGTTCTGTCCGGGTCCTGGAACACCTCAGAGGCCGACTAGATTTTCAGGGCGTGAGATTCCGAGAGTCAGACCTAACGAAGGGAGCGTCGATTCTCGAAAGATTAAGCCCTGCCAATGTGGTCGGTCTCGAAGGTGCTACTAGTCTTGACTCGAGCTGATCCCGGTATAGTAGAGCAGAGATGGTTCACGGCTGGCCAGTGCTTGTTATATTTAAGAGGGGCAGTTCAGGGCGATTTGTAAACGGTTGTTTCAGATAACGCACGAGAATGTTTCAGATAACGCACTCTTCACCCAAAGAGTGATTAACACATGGAATTCACTGCCACGGGAGGTGGTGGCGGCTACAAGCATGGACGGCTTCAAGAGGGAATTGGATAAGCATATGGAGCAGAGGTCCATCAGTGGCTATTAGCCACAAGGTATAGATAGATAGACTCTGGGGCAAGGGATGCTCTGTCTTCTTGGTGCTTGGGGGGGTCGACAGTGGGAGGGCTTCTAATGTCCTGGCCCCACTGGTGGACCTCCTGATGGCACCTGGTGTTTCTGGCCACTGTGTGACACAGAGTGTTGGACGGGATGGGCCTTTGGCCTGATCCAACATTGGCGTCTCTTATGTTCTTATGTTCTTATGTAATGCACCATTATCCAAAGTCGCATTCAAGGCAGGTAATGGGTTGGGGCCTCACTTTGCGTTTATAGGGGGGGGGGACCCAGTTCGATCCCTGGCATCTCCAGTTGAAAGCAAGTATCAGGTAGTGAGGCCGGTAACCTCCCCGGGCAAGAAAATTCTAGGTGAAGATCTTCGGGCACAGTGTATGGCAGTTTCACGCATTTATATGCGAGTATTCGGTCTCTTCCCTAGAGTTGCCTGTTAGCCTATCGGTCTCTTCTGCTTTGCATCTTCTGTCTCCTGCAGGTGATTCTCTGCCTCACTCCTATTCTCCCCCCCCCTTCTCTGCCACCCCTGACAGAATGGCTTTGAGCCTGTCTTTGTGTTTGAGGTTGACAGTAACACCAACACCATTAAAAGAAGGCCGGGGACACTCCACCAGGTGAAGAGCATGCGGCGTGTGACTGTCTTGGTTGGACTGCCCCTTTTGTGTTGGCTGTCGTCGTTCCGCTTCCCCGAGTCCGGGTGCGGTACCGATCCCTGTGGTCCCGGGCCGACTGGCTTTAAAGCAAACGGAATCCAATGATGTTCACCACACTCTTGTAGAATAATCCAATAGTAGAAGGCGAAAACGAGTGTAGTAAACAGACTCCCTACTTACAAATTGCCAAAATGCTAAAGAACGTGTAATATTACAAAGGCCTATGGACTGGCCTTTTCACTCTTGCGGCTGGACGTCCGGTGGTTTCACAGACTGGATTTCAGTTTGCGTTCTTTGTAGCTTGAGTAGAAAGGCCACTTTCGTGCGTGATCGTGGTTTCTGAAGCTCACTTTCGTTCGTGCTGGCAACCGCGATGAGCAATAAGTTCCTGAAAGAAGCTGTAGTGTCAACTGTTGAATCACGGACACCTTTGTGAGGAGAACAGCGCAGAGGCGAAGTGTGTGGTTGCACTTGTTCGGCTGTGGCAAAGCTCTTGCGTATCCTCAAAGGATGCCGTGGTCTGCCTTTCCAATATCTAATGACTTGCCTTTCTGCACCTGGCTTGGTGGCAGCTCTTCTTGTGTGGCCCTTGCCCAAATACAGTCAGCCCCCGAATCATACCTTTCGTATTATCATATTCCCAAAAGAGGCGGGCTAGTTCTTTTGGTTCTTCTTTCTGGCATGTATTTCTTCTCTTAGAGAATGGCTCGTTTGCTTGTCTTCCCTCTTGGTGTCTTAGAAGTGTGGTATCCCCCCCCCCCACCCGCCCATAGCTGCCCATGAATGCAATCTAATCTCTTCTCTTTATCCACAGAATGACGACCGGTCAGCAATCTCACCAAACTCTCCCACCTCTCAAACAGGTAAACTGGCAAAGGATGCATTTGATGTGTATTTATTTATATCCCGCTTATCTGCCCAGTCGGCAGTGTTCCCTCTAAGATGAGTTAGTGTGAGCTAGCTCACAGTTTTTTAGCCACCGGCTCACACATTTTTGTCTTAGCTCAGGGAGGAGGGCTCCGGAGCAAACTAATTTCTGCAGTAGCCAAATCGCTCGCTCAGAACTTTAATGCCAGTGGCTCACAAAGTAAGAATTTTTGCTCACAGGACTCCACAGCTTAGAGGGAACATTGCCAGTCGGGACTCCAAGCGACTTCGACCTTTGTTCTCCCCGCCTCCATTCTCTCACGACAACAACCCTGTGAGGTTGGCCAGGTCGAATGCTTCCGAGGGGCCCGAGGTCACGCAGCAAGCCAGCCTGGTAGAAGTGGGAATTCGAACCCAGGTCTCCCGTGATCCTAGTCTAACACTGTATCCACTATGCCGTGGCAGAGTGAAGGAGAGGCATGCGTCTTACTCTGTGAAGACTGTTAGCGTGCAAGCCAGACTTCTGTTTGCCTAGAGCCTAATCTCCTTTGGGGGCATATAAGCCAATGCAAAGGTCATTGCTGGGCCATTTTGGATGTCACGCCAGCACGATATGGTAGTCCTTGCTGCTGTGCCTTCAGGAAGCACAGGCCTTAGAAAATGTATAGGCCCAGGCGTCAAAATACTATATATGAGGTGGTAGAAAAGCAGTTCCAGTTTGGTGTCATGGTTAGGAGCGTGGACTCTAATCTGGGAGAACCAGGTTTGATTCCCCAGCCCTCCCCATGCAGCTCCAGGTGTGACCTTGGGTCAGTCACAAGTTCTCTCAGAGTGGTTCTCTCTAATTTATTTACAGTCCATGACCAGAATGCAAATAAGTAAGAAGGAATGACCATAGCCAGATAAAATATAAAAATTAAGGTATACAAATATAAAGTGTATAAAAGTAGTTAAAACTAATAGTAATACAAATACAGCAATTTATAACCTAACTACATAAAAATATAGAGTACAATCAGCTACTATCTTCCACATTAAGTTGGGAAATATAAACAGAGCTGTTCTCTCACAAGCAGTTCTCTAATCTGAGAGAACCGGGTTTGATTCCCCACTCTTCCACGCGCAGCTGCTGGTGTGACCTTGGGCCAGTCACAAGTTCTCTCAGAGCTGTTCTCCCACGAGCAGTCCTCGAAAGAGCCCTCTCAGCCCCACCTACCTCACAGGGTGTCTGTCTGTTGTGGAGAGGGGAAGGGACAGGAGATTGTAAGCCGCTCTGAGATGCCTTCTGGTAGCGAAGGGCGGGGTATAGATCCAATCTCTTCTTCTTCCGACCCACAAGTCCAAATATTCCTGGTATGGTTTTGAGAGCCCTAGGCAAACTATGACCTTGTCACCCATCTAGTTTCCCATTCCATTTTCTACCACGGCGAACAAGGTGTTTTTGAGAAACCAGCCACCATCGCCCAAAGAGCACAGCTGCCCCCAGGACGAACCCCAAGCCAGTGGTGCTCTGAGGTCCTTAGCCTTTGCCTGTGGAGGTTACATTCCAGTCTCTGACCACCCTCTCCTTCTGCATTCCTCCCTCTAATTCCCCCTAAGTCTCTTAAGAAATGCATTCTTGTAACCATTAGGACAAGTTTTACTTGATCAACAAGCTGTGCAGTGAAGGAAAAATACCAACTAATGTGTGACCTGGAAGCTACTGTTTCCAAGGTCAGATCTCCGTTTCTGAGAAACAAAAGAACTCCATTGAAAAGGCAGGGGGCGGCCATTAGGGAGGGCTGGCCCACGCTATCAGAAGCTTTGTGACCCACTTTAGGGTCCCAGCCCACCAGTTGGGAAACCCTGCTGTAGAATGTTTGAAGCCCTTTTTCTTTCTTCAGCTGGTTGCCGCCTTCACAACGGCCCTGCAGAGTAGGTCAGTGTAAGTATCCCCGTGCTGCCCATGGGGGAGTTTGACAGGAAGCGACTTGCCTGAGGCTGACCGGGATTTACAGTAGAAATGAACATTCCGGCTGGGAACTTCCTGCTCCGCAGCTCGGTCTCTCAGCCGCTAGGCTGCACCAGTTCTCACAGGAGCTTCGGGTGGCGGAACAGAACCCTCCCTGGCGCGCAGACTGCCTCTGCCAGGCTAGAGGAAGAATGGCCTCCGGGGGTAACCAGATTTATTCCCTAGTTCAACCCACATCCGTGCTCATGGCCAGTGTTCCCTCTAAGCTGAGTTAGTGTGAGCTATCTAGGCTGCACCAGTTCTCACAGGAGCTTCGGGTGGCGGAACAGAACCCTCCCTGGCGCGCAGACTGCCTCTGCCAGGCTAGAGGAAGAATGGCCTCCGGGGGTAACCAGATTTATTCCCTAGTTCAACCCACATCCGTGCTCATGGCCAGTGTTCCCTCTAAGCTGAGTTAGTGTGAGCTATCTCACAGTTTTTTAGCCTCCAGCTCACACATTTTTGTCATAGCTCAGGAAGGATGACTCCAAGGCAAACTGACTTATGCAGTAGCCAAATTGCCTGCTCACAACTTTAATGCCAGCAGCTCATAAAGTAGAATTTTTGCTCACAAGACTTCACAACTTAGAGGGAATGGCAGGTGAGCCTTTCTCCCATGGGCAAGTGTTGCCTGCAGGTGTAAATAAAGAAGGGTGTTCCTAGAGAGCCCCAAATACAGTCACAGCTGTCATGTCACTGTTACAGGGAAAAGTGGGAGAGTGAGATTCGAGTCCAGTAGCACTCTTAAGAGACCAGCAAGATTTGGGGGGGGGGGTTA